CCTCATATACAATGAAGCTAAGCTGATACAACAGGAAAACTAGAGGACACAGTTATACAAAGATGTAAAAATGGTGTTTTATGCAATAAAAAGTGAAGTAAAATTAAAACAAAATATTAAAATTAGTGTTTAATTGTTTAAAAAAATGACAGCTTTATTTATGTTACATGAATGTATTAACATGAAAACACTGATTATATAACAACTACAGACTGTGACTGACTGAGCACATGCTGCTGCACTTACGCATCACCCAGGCAGAAGAAAAAAGTAGTTCCACTAACCATGTGTGATTTGCACAATATTTTAATAGTTTAGTTCATTTCCACTGTACTTAGGTTACAGTAATTATGTACATTACATTAGATTCCGGTATTGGTGGTATGCTGCACATCTTGATGTTAGAGATCACTCAGTTCAGTACAGCTGTCATGACAACAAAAACACAAATATGGCTGTAACTCAATCAGACATCTACTGACCTATTGGAGCCTTGTCTTTCTGTCTGTTAGCAAAGTATGGCATAAAACAATAAAACACATTTTAATACAACTTTTAATAAATTATCACACAATGTGTCTCTGTAACAGATTCACATGTCTACCCAATTCAGGTCAAAATGGCCACAAAAGACAACTCACCTTATAAAATACGAAGAAAAAAAACAGACATAAAAATGCCAATTATTTAGTCAATTTTAAAAATACTGTACTAATATTTAATGTTGTTAGAGCTGGTTGTTATCTCAAAATATGCAAGTGCTAATCTAATTTTTGCCAGATCTTTGGTTAAAACATCAGCATAAACTCGTGCAAATTTGTCTCTCAGCAAAACAATTCTTAATCCACTTTAATCATAATCCACTTTATGCAAACTTTCCAGAAAATAATTATTGGACGCACTGCTACAACTGATTAACTTTTGATTCATTCAACTCAAGAAGACGGCAACAGCTAACCGACATTATCTAATGCAAAAGTGACTATAAGCTTATGAACTTTAGAGGGACTGAGCTAAAATGTGATGTGATCGTAACTGGGAGTCATTCATAACATATATTCTGAGACTTTGTAAGAAATCACCAATTATTTTGTTTTCAAGAGTTGATCCGAAAGGCTACAGTTCTGTCATTTCTCAACATGAGACGATTTCAGTCTAAAACTCAGGCAGGATATGCAAATGCTAGGCTTTTAATTCAAGGAAGCGCAGAAGAAAAACTGAACAAAGAAGCTCAAGACAAAGAATGTCAGTAGAAAGGCACAAAAAGAGACAACAAGACTAATGCAATGAGTCACAGTGTCTTTGTGTTCTCAGTTGGCAAAGAAAATTGTGCCATTATAGCAAAGGTGGAGATCCCAGAGCAACTGGAATCTAAACTGTCTGCTGATCCGAAGATGTTCCTTGAGATATAAGTACAGAGAAGAAACACTGTTCACAGGCGGCATATTTAAAGAAAGCCTGTGTGTAAACCAATTCATCATTCTGCTTCACTCACAACAAACTGTTTCCATTGTAGGCGACACATTCCTGAACTGCTCATATTTCCGGTTTTGTAATTGTTGCTCTCCTGACTTACTAAGAATATCTGGAAAAGTACATTTAAAACAAAAAGATTCTAACCAAGTGTTTCTGTTTCCTTTTTTTTCTGCTTGAACATCTGTCAGCTGTCCAGACTTGCACAAGTAAACATCACTGTTTAAATAAGATTGTTTACAGAAAGTGCTGCATCTTTCGGGAATAAGAAACAGTGAGATGAACAAACATTGACATTCAGCTGTTTGAAGTTATATTTGGAAGTGTTGAGATGTGTTTTATTTTGCGCAGACAAGCTTTTGCTGGTTTGAGCCACTTATTTAGTCTTTTGTTCTGAAACACACTGCAGCAGTAATCAGGGAAAGCAGAGCAGTTCTTAATGGATGCTTTGCAACACTTAGGGTAATTTTAGCCACACAAATCTTTGTTTTTTGTTTTTTTTACACGTTCTAATGCAGTTTTGGAATGCATACCGGGGGCTGGCTTTGGGATCTGTTCAAAACTGCTTGTAGAATAATTTTCACATCTGTATGTGTGAAGTGATGCAAGTTGAACAAAAAATGTTCCACGTGACGCAGGAGAATAAATGCATTTACAGCATTTAGTTACAGAATTCTTGCTGTAACACTGACTTGTTCACACCATGTCTGTAGGTGTTTAAAGTGTTTGAAAGATTTCCAATTTTTTTTTTTTTTTTTTTTTTTTTTTTTTTGCTGTGAAGTTATATAAAAGTGTGACGTTGTCTCAGCTAATAATTTTTAGACACGTTATTTTAAATAAAATGGTTTTGGAGAATGTTGAGCCTACTGATTAAAACACATATGGCAAGTTAAACATGGTTTGAATTACAAGACAATTCCAAAAACTGAGACATTGTTTAAACTATAAATAAAAATGAAATGCAATGATTTGCTAATCACATAGATCCATATTTAATTCATGATGGAACACAATAAATATAAGATTTTGTTTAATAGCAATTGTGCCTTTTTTTAGGAAGAACATTCATAATTTACATTTTTATGGCAGCAATGCTTTTCTAAAAAGATAGTGTGATCAATCTCTTTTTTATTAACAACAATCTGTAATTATCTAGGAACTGAAGACCTGTTGAATTCTTTGGAAGAAAATGTTCAACCATTTCTGTTTTATGTTGAAATTATATTTTTTGTCCTAGATTTTCCCTGATAGATTTTTTTGTGTAATAATTTACCTTTAAAAATGGTAAGTGTCAAGCTTTGGCTTTTTCAGTATAGTTTAGTTTTATTTCTTTGTGACATTTTTTTTAATTCAGTTAGTTTTAATTAGTTATTAGAGTGGATTTGCTATTTTTTATTACTTATTATTGTTTTTAATGCTTAGTTTTAGTTTAGTTTTTATTAGTACTATTATTAGTTTTGTTATTTTTCTTTGTAGTTTGAATAAACATATTTGACAATGCAACCTCCAGCTTGAAATCTTCCTGCAAGTTAACTAACCAGGAGCTTTTTGATCATCAGCCAAAGCAGTCTGTTATAGCAACACCTTCCTAAAATAATCCAGTAACTCAATTTTGCCAACAAAGGACTTGGGGAATTGTTTGAAGAAGATGACATACTGGTGCTACCTGGCTGGGCTGGGCCTTGTTTTTCACAGGAACCACTAATAGAAGCTAGCTTGTCAAGATACTCACAGTTAGTTAGTCCGTTGATAAGTATTCCATCTATTGTACAACCTGTTTCCACTACAAGACACATGTTTTTTTATTTTCTCACAGTCATTTTCAAAGAAACCCCAAATTGAAATTTGCCACTTTCTCTCAACTTTTGTTGTTGTCATTTTGCAGCTGAGTGCTGAGCCTGAGCAGACTGTAAACAAGCATTGTTACGGACCATGAGGTGCAGTTAGCTCGTCACAGCTAATGTGAAACTGCTCAAATTGAAATAAATAAATAAATAAATAAATAAATAAATAAATAAATAAATAAATAAATAAATAAATAAATAAATAAATAAATAAATAAATAAATAAATAAATAAATAAATAAATAAATAAATAAATAAATATTAGTTTAATCAGTTCACACAGCTCAAAATAAATTGACAAACACTGAAACTAAGGATGTATTATCTATTAGTTTAAATACAGTAGTTTTGTAAAAATATTATACAGTTTCATAATAGTTGTCTTCATTGTATTACAGATTTTATGTATTTCAGTTAAATAAAAGGTTGTTTTCAATTCAGTGCGAGCGGTGGGGAGAGGGGTGGCTGCTATGATGCAGTTTACTTGGCATCTGAAAATACATTTCCTCAAATGTATTTTAAATCTGAAAAGAGCTTCACCGAGTGAGAACTAATGTTGAGAGCTCAGTAGACAGTTAGGTTTCACTTTCAGCTTCACCCAAGAGCCTGCAGGAGTCATGGGTGGGGTTATGTGGGGAGGGGTGAGGTGGGGGGGTGCTCTGCCATGAGGAAGTTTGGCTTAAAGACACGTCCCAGGGGCGTTCCTGATACCAAAAGGCATTTCTGGTCCCCACCTGTCGTTTTGCTCCTCAGCATGGCTGCCTAAAAACACTGCAGGA